GTTTAAAGGCTTTGGTACCAAATTCGAAATCGGCTGTTTGACATGAAACTAAATGATATAACGTAATCAAAGTAACGAAATCATAGCAAAACTAAGACAATCGAAAAACAGAAAAGATCAATAGAGTACCTCGGGGTCGAAGGACTAGTGTTTACCTAAGAAAGGTCAATCATCCGAAGATGATGGAGAGCTATGAAACTTTTAAAAAATTTTTTTATTTTTTTTAGCCTAAATCTCATCCTTAAAGCATAGCTTTTCTAAGGTAAGAAGGAAATATCATATTGCAAGCAATACATCATATACAGAAAACTATTTTTAAAATGTTTGAAAAAAAATAAAAGATTTAGAATTTGGGGAGGAGTATCAATGTAGTGTGACTTGGTGATTCATCGTATAACTTAGTTTTTTTTTTTTCTTTAGAAACATCGCTCTGCACAATTTACGAACTGATTCCTCTTGTAGATCCGCAAATACAGACTTTTCATGTATATAAAAAAAGGAAATTAATACATTGTAAAGGATATGCTTTTAAAATACAGAAGTAATATAATTATTGTAAATGTAATATCAGATAAAATCAAACAACTGTCAAAGTGAGTAAGTTACGGTAATTTTGTTACGTAATACACGTTTCTCAACAAGAAGGATGGAGTTCTTTTTTTTTCTTCTCTGTTCTAGAACCCGGTTTTTTAAATCTTATCAGTAGAAAACAAAAAAGAAAAGATATTGCAAGTTTCCATGTTATGAGAAGAGGTTTTTCTTCACCAATATCGAAATTTTCGATGATCAAGATCTTCATAGTAGGTTTTTACAAGTTTCACTTATTTAAAAAAAATTTACAAACTAATTTAGAAAATATTTCAATTATTTGATATGATTAGAGCTCATAAAAATAACGTATTAAAATTTTTATAAAAATCTTATGAACTGATTTGGAAAATAAAGTTTTGCCCAATTGACTTTTCATTTTGAATTATTTTTTTTTTTTTTAAATGTCAGAACCATCCTCAAGTTTAAGAAATAAAATCCCCCTTTAATCAAAGATGAAAAAAGGTTAAGTGGTTTCTTTGACAACTTCATAATGATAACAATAAGAGAAATAACAAATTAAAATTGCAAATAAACGGTAGCGCGTTTTTTACTTATAATAGTTTAGAAAATATACTGAATAAAAAAGTATTCGATTTTTTTTAAAAGTTATTACATTTGGCATTCCACAAGCTCAGTTCTCAGTATATCATTTCTTAAAATTGAGTCTATATGTTAACATTTCGCTTAATCTTTGGCAAAAAAAATGTTTTTAGACGAGGGAATTAATGTTTATACAAAATATCTAAGACTGTAAAAAGCGTAGTACAAAACTTGCCTGGTCAACCAGCAACAACTATATTAAAATTGCATTTCATAATCTTCAGGCTATAAATATATTTGTGAAAATCACAAGCAAGTAATTACACAAGTATTTCACAATCCATTCGTAAAGTTCAAGAGTACTTTTAGTATGTATCAATTGGAAAAATCATAGCATAATAATGAACATTTCAATTAAAAAAAATTAAAGTCGCGTTTGAGAATGATAACTGCCTTCGCTGTTCATGTTATAAACCAAAGCATGATCGTTTTGTAAACCAAATCGTACAAGACAAATTACAAGCAATTTTGATAAAAAGAAAAAACAGCCATCGACTATTTTTATAATTCAATATAGTCACGCAAAAAAAATTCCATAATTTTAAATTTTTTTTTTAAAATTAAGGTATAATTTTCTTCAAAAAAAAAAAAATAATTCTTTGATTTGCTACTATGAAATTTTTTAAAAAGTGAATGATTATTGGAAGAAACTTATTTGGTTTTAAATTTCAATCTTACATTGAAAAATTAGCTCATGCTCGAATGAATGGTTAGATACCAATTTTATTTAGATTAGTTTAGTAAAACGAGGTTGAATGAAAATTTTAAATTATGAAATACATGCATGATTTGCAAGTAATATATTTATTGTTTCTGTGCGAATAATGAAGCGTATTCATAACTAAAAGACACTTTCTTAGGGCACAAAATATAACTGATAAATAATCTGGCTTCATTCAAAATAATTATGTGCTTCACTTTATTTCTACAGTTTTTTCCTTAAGTCATCGAGTTATGCGGGCAATTTTATTAAAAACTTTTCATTTGAAATTCCTGTTTATCCCAATACTTTTATAATATTAGAAAAAAGGAAATAGAAAAATTACTATTATTTTTTACCTTATATCTTTTTCAATATTTAATGAAATAATTGTATAATTTGTTAGCTCTGCAAATTAGTTGAACTAAAATAAAATGTCTTGACTAAAGTATCAATATTAGGAAATCTAAAAAATTGCCAGGTAAGAAAAACATTCCCTTAAGATTTTCTTTCAGGCATAGTTAAAAAGAAAACACAACAAGGAAAATATATCCAGTCGTTTAAATGAATAGTAAACCTAAAAGGCCTAACCTTTTTTTAATCTAACATTTTCTTCGATTCTCTTTTAAGAATCGAAGAAAAACGTGTGAGCGTGAAACGTGTAATTACTGAAAACGAATATCTAGTTTTTTCTTCATTATTTCTGATTCAAATATTCTCATTTAAATTTTTCTACATCTTTTGCTCGTATATTTAAAAACAAAATATTCTAAAATAATTGAGTAAATGTGAAGTTACTTTTTTAAGTAAATACAAATTTACGAAAATTGTTTTTGTAATTACACTGTTTTGAAATTGTTTTTCTTCTTGAGTTAACAGCATTTAATAGAACTTACCAATTTCACCTTTATTTAATATGTTAGTAATCTTATTTTAGTCTTATTTGTATTTAATGTGATTTTTCATCTTTTTACCATTTGATGTTTTACCTTACCTTACTAAGTTTTTACCTGTATTTTTGAAACTTTTCTTGTTGGTTAATTTTATTCACTTAGATGCTTTAAGCACTTTTAATTTTTATTCCGTTTTATTTTTATTATCTTTTCGATTTTGAGATTTTTCTTATGTTTATCAATCTTTTTAGTTTTGATTTTACTTTTCTGTAGTTTTGTAGGGTTTTGTTCACGTGACAACGGGTGAAACCCTTATCCGCAAACTCCTTCAGGGGTAGGTCGGTTACTATTAGTTTTATTTAATATACTTACTGAAAATAATGTCAATTTGAAGAGGTTAATTAAATCAAAGTAAGAAGTTGGAAGTTTTAGTAATTTTTTTTGTCAAATTCCGGAATAAACAAACAAGCAAAGATGCTAAGTGGGAGAAATCGTCAAACTTTGGAACCGACATCTTTAACAAAATTAAAAGCGTGCTAGCTATTTGGGAAAAACGTAAAATAAACAAAAATTTTACAATATGTAAAAAGGATGGACTAAGCAAAGCATTGTTTTAATATTTTTACAATTTAGAATTACCAAACGCTGACTTATATTTTTTTGATAAATCTCTAAAGTAAATGATCCGATTCAATTCAAATTTCAAGAAGGCTATTTGCGGCGATTTCATACAAATAATTATTAAAATCACTGAAATACGCAAAACTGAAATTTCTACTCGATGCTGGATTTGAACTAAAATCAATACCACCTTTATTAGGGTATTGATTAGTATTTAATTTCCACAACAATTATTACTTGGCAAACAATTATTTTTTTAATGTATATATTTAACATTTATATAGTTATGCTTCTGTAGACACTTCTGTCCAATCCTTATCCAAAATTAAAATGTTCAAGTTTCTCAAATAAAATAAAAAGCAAATATTTTCTCCTTCAATTAGCTACTTCATTCTACATGATTAAATATGCTTTGTGCAGCTTGAAATTTCCCAAAATTGAGTCACATTTGGCTAATAGTTTAATTACTTTTAGATATAGGTTTTAGAATTAAGGCACAAATATTTATAACTGATATATAACCGGTGTTAAATAGCAGCCGCAATTCGGAGTTTTAGACTATTAATATTTAACTCCATAGCCTTGTAATTTTGAACCCAACCCAGAAGAAAAGGGAACTCCTGCATCAAGCATTGAAACAAACTAGCCTTCGTGGAGGACTTTTCGAAGCAACTAACCAGCATTTGCATTTCATAGACAGGAAAACCACGAAAACTTCCCTCGGTTAGCCAGACGGTAAAGGGATTCTAACTCAGGATCCGTCCACCACTCTGAGGATATTTTCCTACACTTTATTAAGAGGTGAACGCTCTACCCCCTAACACAGCTCGTAACTGATATATTGGGCTACTTACAATTTGCTTATTATTATACTTTTAAACTTCAAATCGACGGATGCCAGTTTTCCTGGAAAGTTCAAAATGCTGAGAACAATGATCTTTCATGCCGAAATGGCGGAGCCTTTACCTCAATAACTCTCTTAGTTGATAATTGGATGCTGTGGGATTACTTTTGAATTTTCTGTGGGATTACGCTTGAAATAATTAAAAATTTAAGAATGAAAGTCAAAAGCAGATTTTTCTTATTAAAACCAAGAAAATTTTATGCTACTTATGCTCAGGGCACGTAAGATTTCAAATATTTGAAAATTCAAGAATGTTCATGGCAGATTATTCAACAAAGATTTTTTTTTTATAATAAAGAAATAAAGTTAATTTTATGTTACTTGTACTTTGTGGGCAAGTAGGATTTTGAATATCTGAAATATTTAAAAATGTACAACAAAAGCAGATTTTTCTTCCAATAGTGTGGATATGCAGATTAAAATATAAATAAGAAATATGTTAAGTTCGTAACTGTACTAAGAAGTATTTCTCTTTACATAAAAATAAAGTAAGCATTTTTTGAATTTAAGTATTTTAATTCCACTAACTTGAACACAAAAATAAAACCGATATAATGTTTTACAATGTTTTTTAACATAATGTAATGCCACAGAACGTCTAAAACTGTTTGACACGTGACACAATTATAGCAAGCATAAACTACCCATATGATTTAGTCAATACACAAATTTATGGAAAAGATTTATTTACCTGACATTCCTCCATGACATCAGGATCCATAGTATCATCAGAAGAAAACATTATATCGTTAGGATCACAACTTTTAATTAAATCAACGTCGGGATAAACACATACCAGTTCACCGCGTCGATTTCTTTTACTAAAAGAACGTACCATGAAGAACCTAACATAAACAGTATCCTACAAACAAACGGTGCACCACAAAATTCCGGCCGGCTTAACAACAACAACAAATATAAGAAATGACAGCACGATTTCAAGGAACCACCTGCATTCGTAGGGATTCAGAAAACACTTCGGTCCCCGGTTTCAAAGTCTCTGACAACTTAGGAAAAATAGGCGGCCCGATTGCTTCGTATCTGCGTGACGTCACTCTGACGATTATATTTCATGAATTTTCATTGGGCAAAGAGTAGGATTTGCAGAAACGTCACCGGGAAATGTTTCGTTCTTTCTTTTTTCTTCTTTTTTTTTTCTTTGGTAGCAAGCGAATACGATTTGTTATAAAGTGTAGTAGCGAGGTTTCGGTTGTTTATGTTTTGTTAATCTAGGTATTGGGTATGTTTTTTGAAAATTATGGTGAGAAAAATATGCTGTTACTTTATTTATGGATGCAGATTTTAAGCTGGAATCATCAAGTTATGTCGCCGGAAAAATTCTCTTTTTCCAATTTCAATACTTTTTTTAAATAATTAATCTTGATATTTATTGGAAAAAATTGCCGATTTCTATTTCAATAGTTATATGATTAATTTATTATTTCCCCCTACAAATATTGTTTATTCCTACATCAATATTTTATTGGTAATTAAACAGCTTTTAATTGAGGTAGACTTGAAAACTGTTTAAAAAGTATTATTTATCGAGAATTGGATATTAGCAAGAAAAAATGATTAAATTAAAAATGCCAAAAGTTCTCGTATGGAACAATTAAAGGGTGTGGGAAGAATGATAAACCACAAATTAAAATTGTTCAAGAAAGCGTTTGTTGTGAGAAACCCATGATTTTCAAGAAGACATTTATGTATGTTGTTCTGTTATCGGGTCGAAATTTCGGAGACTTGAAAAGTATTTATCTGGAACTAATACTAATTAACAGTTTGATACAAAAATGTCTACTTCAGATAAATTGCCGCTTATTACTATAGTACCGCCAGCATTTCTATTAATTAACATTCAAACCAAGAATATGTTTAAAATGACATCTTAACGAATGAATATTATAATTTTAAATTCTCTTAGATTAAAATATGTTTGGCAATATTATTAATTACGTTTTATAAGCTAACGGTAAAATATTTAGCGCATAAGAAATGTGTAAGAAAGCACAACGCACATTTTTTTTATTTATGTTGAATTAAATTGGTCAGTTAATTTGGCATTTATTGCTTTGCATTACGCAGACTTTCATAGGTTAAAATGGATTGAAATATAAATTTTAAATGCGATTGATTTGTAAATCTGACTGAATTATTTACTAGCAGGGTAAGTTTTATACACAGTTTTATGAACAGCATAATGTCTATCAATAGCAAAACGAAAAGAAAAAAAAGAAAACTAATAACAATCTCACACGTCTTCTTTGCACGTCTGCCAAGTCTTGAAAATGGACGCCTATTTTTGAACTCTTGAAACATGATGACTGTTGTATATTTTTGAAGCGAATGAAGTTTTAATAAAGTAATAACAATTTCTGTTTATTATTGAGTTGTTTTGAATATAAAATCTGTTGAATTTAAATTCAATAATGAATTCTGGTTATAAAATATTTTATTATAAAATTTTTATAGCAAGTTAAATATATCTTTGGTTAGGGAATCATGTTCAACTTTCGTTTGCATGACTCTATATGTATTATGATCCCTTCTATACCACGAAAAAAGTTATTTCGCAATATATAGCAACATTTTTTTATAAACCAAAATTCTTAAGTTTCAAGTGATTGATCAACATTAATTTCTACAATTTACTTATGAATCACTCATCTAATAAATTAAATTGAATAAAGTTAGCATTAAATAATAATTTTGAAAAACGCATTTAAATAATTCATTTTAAACTGTTATCTAAAAAATTATATTTCCCTGAAAGTCTGATAGATTTTAAATTGCCTGATCATGATATTGCTGTTTAAATTTTTGCAATACATGTAACAATGTTGAGTTTAAAGTAATAATAAAAAATCAGAAAAAAAATTTAAAAAAAAAGAAGAAATATACCATCTTTCTATTGAATAAAACTAGAGGAAGTTCCTTTAAACTGGTGATAAAGAAGAATGCTAAACAAGAAATACCCATCTATGATTATAGAACAATGGCGAATGCTTTAGACGAGTTATTTTAGAACACACAAATAATGATTTTAGTGGCCTAAATATTTTGAATCTTTCACCCTTTCTCAAATCCGGCGTGCTTCAGTCTCAGAGATGAATAAAATAGATAATGCTGCTTGCTGTTGCAGACGATGTTATGGATCCAAATTACCAAGAGCAATTTACGAGCTTAATATTCATCACTTTAACACATTTCCTCTGAATTTAAGCAGCAGACGATTTTAAATCGCCAGTTAATAAATTCTATTTCTCGCAGGAAGGGGGACTCCCCAGGGTAATAAATGGAATTTTCGTGTACACAAGAGTAGCATAAAGTGCTGGATAATAAAAAGAAAATATTTGACTGGTGTCATTTTTTTCTGAAAAAAAAAATCTTTTGCAGTATATTTTACAGCTACTTTAAATAATCGTCGTGTTTTCGATAAAATTCAGAATTTTCATAATTCTTTTAAAACAGTTTTATATTTTCGCAAAAAATAATTTAATATCTTCTAAATTTTACCATGGTAATATATTGAAATAAATTTCGTAACTTTAAAATTCATAATAGAATTGAGATCTATAATTAATGTAGAATGTTATAGGAAATGTGTAAATTTTAATAAAAATATCTGTGATATTCGTTCATTTAAATACAACTATACGTGTTTGACTAAAAATTAAGTACAAAAAAAAGTTAGAAAAGAGGTATTTCAACTGAAAATGCTACCAGTTTTGTTTATAAAAGTGTTGCCGTAAAAAGAAGAAATAAAATAAATCGATATATTAATTTAAGCATAGAAATTGGTCTATATACAGACTTAATAATATATTGACCAGACGTTTTCGATAATAAACATTTAAATTCTGTGCAATTTTTTTTTCGAATGAAACTGTTCTATCTTACTTTATATTATAACTGAACTTATCAGCTCTGAGTTTCTTCAGTAATTGAGAGCACGATTATAAAGAAATGTTAATATATGTGCACAGCGCCGTGGTGACTCAGGGGATAGAGCACTCGCCTCCCAATGAGGTGACCCGGGTTCGACTCCCAGCGATAGATGGTCGAATTCCACACTTGGCTCGCACCGACCACAGAGCTGACTTAAAATATCCTCAGTGGAGGATGGATCATGAGTTAGAGTCCCCTTACCGTTAGGCTAACCATGGAAGGCTTTCGAGGTTTTCCTCTTCGTGTATGCGGATTAGTTCCATCAAAAAAGACCTCAACGAAGGTAAATGTCTCCATTTTTCCCAATACTTTATCCAGGAGTTCCCTTGTCTTCTGGATTGGGTTACGAAGTTTAACTACTTATTTTAACTTTAAGGCCACAGAGTTTAACATTGGTAGTCGTAAACTCGAAATTGGGTCGCCTGTTCGGTGACGGATATAAAATTAAATTAAATCTGAGTACAGTAATGCATAACTAAAACGAATTTTTGCATTCTAAATTGTTTTACACTACGATTTCCCTCTGCAACTTCAAAACGCTTTAATTTTTTCCTTATTTTTACTAAATTTTTTAAATACTTGATAAAAAGTATTTTCAAAATTGAATCAGGGAACAAATTAAAAGAGTACAGAAATAATTTCACTGCCTTAGATTTCCCTATCGAGGAAAACATAAAGAGGTAAGTTCGATTGGAAATCAGATTTTTTTATTTATGTTTAATTTTTTTTTCAAAATTTAAAGTGAATTAGCTTAAGTGGGTGAGAAATTAGATCTTGTACTAAAATTGCAATAAAATGAATATCGTCAATTTTCAGTCTCCTGCTTATTGTATAGGAAAAAGTAAAAAAATAAAACAAAATTGAAAAGAGCCATTTAACAACGTGCGCTTAAAATGGCAAAGTAAAATGATAGCACCAATACTCAGATAGGATAAATTACATATTTTTTGTTTTCGTTTGCTAATATAGATATAGATTCGATTACCTTTATAGCATATAATAAGCTATTTTGTGTGAAATAGCATGTTTAAACTTGTTTTTCTTTCCCTGTTAAGAAGTACTAAGCTGTTTAGCTTAATAAAATAATAACAATTAGTATGTAAGTTTAAGAAGGGGGCTGTTTTTTTTTTTAAAAAAAAGGAGAAAAAAGGAAATTGTACTGAGCGCCAAAAAAAAAGAAAAAAATTATCATCATGAATAACTATTGATCTAACGATCGGATCTTCGCGTTCTAGGACTCAAACTTAATGGTTCAAGGTGGTGACCTCAAATATGCTACTTAATTAGTGAAGCCGATATTTCAAGTTGTGAAATCTGACACAAAAATGTACTTTCTCTGAATAAACATACCCTTTTTTCGACGGTTTTGGATTTCTGACCTCTATCATTTCCCGCAATCTGGGAAATATGGACCGAAGTTTGGACCTCATAAAGTTAATTTTACTTTTTGCGTTATTTTTTTGCCTTATCTCGAGAACTTTTAAATCAAATTGAATATTTTACAAATTTTAATAAATCTATATTATTTTTTATTTTTTTAATTCAGAAATAATCGAAAAATTTTTTAATTTTAAGGTGTACAATTTTTTACCTCATTTTAAAATACGTCATTTTACATAGCAAAATGCAGAATTTGAGCAAAATTGGTCGAAGAGTATCTGAAAAATTGAATTTTAAATACACGACTTTTTTAAATTTCGATTCCTCAGGAAATATTTAACCGATTTCACTCAAATTCTGTATTTTGTCATGTAAAATTATATACTTTAAAATAATTTTAAAAATTTTACACCTTCCAATTCAAAATTTTTTCGACTATTATTAAATAAAATAATGAAAACTAATAAATATTTACTAAAAATTATCTTTTGCATGGATTTATTTTTGGATAAATGAATTTTATAATTTTGTGCAAAAGTTTTCAATTCGCTTCAAAAGTTCTCAGATATGGTGAAATACGCAAAAAGTAAACTTAACATTATGGGGTCCAAACCTTGGATCGCTCTCCTGACCAAACTATGGGGACCATCTATCCCAAATTGCGGCTATCCCTATAGTTTGGGTGTCTGAAATCCGAATTCATCGAAAAGAAAGGTATGTTAATTCAGAGAAAGTATGTTTTTGTGTCTGATTTCATAACTTAAAATATCGCCTGTAATAATTAACTAACATATTTGAGATTACCCCCTCGAAACACTAAGTTTGAGTCCTAGAACGTGAAAATCCGATAGTTAGATCAAAAGTTATTGAGGGTGGTCAGCTATTTTTATGGAGCACTGTACATTACAGAAGTATAAAAATTCATGATATCAAAATAGAATTTTGAAACGCCTGATTTATAAAAGAGTTTGAAAGTAAATTTCTTTCCATAAATAAGAAATATATGAATTTTAAATAATTGTAATATTTATTCGATAAAATTATTGTAGAAATAC